CCCCAAAACCCCAAAACCCCAAAACCCCAAAACCCCACTTTTCTATTATAATAAAGATTATTAGATTTATTAAAATTTAAGTGAATATATCATTTTGTTTTAAGAAATAAAAAGTCATTGCAAATTTGCTTTTTCTAATGACTTTAGCTATTGTTCGTGCTCTTTTATAATTTTTTAGATGACTTTTTTTTGTTTTTATTTTTCTTAAGTAACGAAACTTTTCAATGCTCCAACTTGTCCATCCCAAGTAGACCCTGCTTAATTAGTTGCTGATTCCAATGATGCTACAACAATGTATTTACCATTTGTCAATCTCTCTGAATTTGACAAAATATGCTAGTTATCTGCTATAATCATTGATATTTCTTAAAGCTTAAGCTATTCTGAAATTTCAGTGACTTTAGAGAAGGTATCCCCCATAATGGCTATTAGTAAATTTAACAAAATGATTTAAATCAAAATGGCTTCAAGCAAGAAGATAATCCAAATTATTTGATTGTAAGTACTGCCAAATCCATCTGTATTAAAATCTCCTAGGCCAGTTCTAAATGAATATATCATAGCTAAGAGAAAATTTTACCCAGTGAATTTTTCTTCTGCTTCAGACAAACTGACCACATTAATAGCTAGAATATAAAAGGAATTAGCGAAACCTATCATTGCAATCATCAAAATAAAAGAGAAAGCTGCCATATCTTTGCAGATTTCAATGATTATTCTAATTAATGATGCCGTTAGCTAGAATATCCTTAAGAAGTAAAAAAACTTCACCCACATTATTAGTACACAGACAGATCCTAATGGTCTTAATTTTTGTTAATTTAATTCGGACAGGCTGCAGATAATATAAGCAATGTTTAGCATTAGCGAGGCAGCATCAAAGAAATTCCATGCTGTTTAGAAATATTTCGCTTTCATTTTGGCCATTTAAATTATCTCAAGCACTAGGAAATAGCCTATTAATGCAAAGATAACAGCAATAAAGAACTTGTCAAGCTCATAAAAATAGTATAGGGTCTCTATGGTACTTTAATTCGAGCTTGTACTATCTTCTAACTATTATTAGTCCTAATTTCTAGATATTCTTTATTGATTTTTCTCATATATATAAGTAACATATACCTAAAAGAAGACTAAGTAAACTATAAAAGGGAAGAAAACCTTATTTCTTATTTAGTAAAAGTATTCATTCCAGAAATACAATGTTATAGCTTTTACTGATTACAATGCAAAAAGCTTTTCATCACCAGAATCAGATAAAGTAACAAGAAAGTCTACAGCTTAGTTACTATCGAGGATCCAATCAAAATTTAAAACTTTTAATTCAGCTCTCTTTAATATACTCGTCTAGTCCTAATTTTCAAGATTTAATTCATTAAACCAAGTGGTTTTGTCAGTATTAGCCATTTTCCTTTCATCTACCATCACATGTACTTTTTCTTCAACAAAAATTTTAAGGTTTTAGTCAAGATGTGTTTAACTTTAATTAGAAAGTTCTAAATTTTCATTTAATAGCTAGCTTTTATCAATTAAACTTGTATTAGTTGCAAAGTACTATTCATTACTATCAGTATTCCACACCATTTATTAAGTTTAAGTCATTCTAATAGGAGACGATAAGGTGTCCTCTAAATATTAGTCAAAAGCAGGTAGTTGCATTGATATCAATGTCAAAAAATGTGCTTTTATAAACTTTGAAGTATTTTAAAAAGGAGATCTTGTAATCATTTAAAGCATAAATTCAGCATTTTTAGAGCTCATATTAGTTACTGCTTTTTAAAATGGAGATTCAGCATAATCATTTGGATACAAGCTATAAAGAAGTAGAGGTAGATTTTGAGTATTCTCTTCTGCTAGTTATTCGAATATTTTTTGCTATACTAATCCAACTATATGAGTATTTAGAGCATATTAGTGAAAAATATTATGACCTTCAAAATATCTATACCTGAAGTAATCAAGATTTATTTTTGAGACATCTAAAATTTCAATCTAAGTAGGGTTTTTAAGTTTGTGGCTCCAATAAACTAAATCAGCAAATGTTGCAGACAAAATCAGTCCATCTTGGACTAATAATTTCAAAGTATCCTAAGATAATAGCGTTAGATTTGGAATTCCACTACATAGTTGACTCCTAGACTTATCAATATTATTTACGTATGACATTGGTAAATTGAAGTTTAAATCGTAAATGTAGTTATCTGAAGAGAGGTAGAAGTTCATTCTTTAAGAATTCCCTCTAAAAATAAAATCTACATCATTTCTTTCAGGCGTTGAAGTCATCTGTAATATTCCTCTTTCTTTATTAAGAGCAAGATCCCATCCAATAATGTAAAACCCTTTAGTATCGTCTGCTACTACTATTTGAATAAAATTTTCAGCTTGAGTACCAAGAATTCTAAGTGCTTTAAATTAAAATGAAGGATTCAGTTTGATCCTCTTTGATTTATCATTCTATTTGGCATTTAAGCTTAAATACTCTATCTTGTCCTCCGCAACAATGAAAAGATTATCATTTATTAAGGCAAAACCTTATATTGTGCTATTTTCAGAATATATGTTTCTAAATCTTTTAATAAAATTCTAATCAAAGTCAAGTCCATTCTAATCATATTAGACCTAGATTTAGCTGTTTTTAGCATTGTTGAATTCTTAATCTAGGAACTATTCTTTGGAATTTAAATAAAGATTAATATAGAGAAACTCACCATCATTTGTAACTATGGCTTTCTTTAAGTAATTTTACCTGAGTTCATCTAATTATGATGCTCTCACATTGATTTGAGATTTTCTATGATATTATAAGAATGGGACGTTATTATTTTCAAAGGAATACTATAATTAGTAAATGTAAAAATCCTATCGAAGCATAGTGTCATCATCTCTCTTGAGGAAAATTTTGTCAGGATTATTATTTTAGTCATCAACTTTAAACATATAGTATTATCTATTATCTGATATATAATACAACTCTAAATTCTTTTGAGTTTCAATCTCATTCTCGTCATAGAGATTCTGATAATATGAATAATTTAGCTGCTAATCAAAGAATCTTATATGCTTTTCCTTTTCATTTTTGACGAAGAAAAAGTTGTCATCAACAAAAGTGTGATATTTATACACCTAATCTGAGACTTGTTTGTTTCCAAACTTTACCAAGGCTTAAGCAGGATTAACTGCAAAAATAAATCTACCCTCATATTGTTTCTTTCCATATCTGTCAAATGCTTTAATCTTATTTTCATATTTCTCGCCTTTGGATTAATCAAGATGCACTTAATCATTGCTTATACCATTAAGCAAGTTATTATCTGGCAAATTATCATTTTCATGATATCTCATATTAATTGCAAGTGGATTTTTATAGAATGAATAGTGTTCACTATCTTTTAAATCTCCATATATAAATACCTTATTAAGATCCTCTGAATGTACTAAATTAAAGAACTTAACATCTCTTTCTGATTAAGGTTCGGGCACTCTTATATATTTGTATTATGGATAAAAGCTTTCTTCAAATCCCGAGTTTTTTTATTTCAAAGGAACAATTTAGTTGCCAACCAAGAAATATTTTTCTGAAACAACACCCTCTATATAGATTTAGCATAGAAATTTATTTACTGAATTAAGTGATTTAATTTCTAAAGCTTTGATGTTAGGAATTTTCATGATCTTCCATCACAAGATCAGCTTTTTTTTGGAATTCCTAACCAGATTGGTAATAATAGTTAAATGAGTTGGTGTAGGAAGGCCCAAAGCAGACTATATCTGATTTTAAAGTTTAAATAGGCTGCAGACGTATTATTCCTAAGTCAATTTAAATAGGGCTACATAGGTTTCCTTAATCGTCTCTTTTTGTTAAATCGAGTATATTCAAGACTGAGTTCTTATTTTATTCTCTAGTAGCGTATAGAATTTACTGATTTTCTCCTTTTAAGTCAAAGGTTATAGTTGTGTAAAGTTTTTTATGGAAATGAGTATTGATCACATGATCTAATTTTGTTATTGCATTCTGAAAAAGTTAAGTTATTATTAATTTTACAAAAGATTAGTCTATTGAAAGCAGTCTAATGGTGTCAGTCGTTTGGTAAATCAAAACTCTTCCATAGTTCTTATCTCCAGAATATATCAAATCCGCTCTTAGAATACTTTAATATCTCTCTACAAAATAATTGGTTCACACAGATAATTACCAAACGGTACGGAAAAGCCTTGACCTTAAATTTGATTCCCATGACTTAGCTTATAACTATTTTTGGTAAAAAGCTAGTTTTATTCAGTTAAAAATATCTTGTTTTAAATGATCAAGGTTTAAGAGTAAAGCTGATTGCCATCTCTAGCTAAGAACTGAATATTATCTCTGTCTAGAACTGACTCATTTTTGTCAACATTCAAAAAGCACATAATTTCTAAAACTATTGAAAAATAGGAAAATACCTTACCTTGTTTGAGTTATATGAATATTATATCATTAGGCTTGTTGCAATCTTATATGAATAATTAGTTAGCACCTTTAACATAAAAAACTAAAGGCCATCTATGAGTTACTAATCTTATATCTACAAGCAATTATTTAAATGTAGTTAAATTTACCAGATATATAAGTCTTGATTTTATTTGCATAAGATTCTGAACTTGCATAGCTTGAAGATTCTATATATTCTTTGAGTTCTGGTCTCACTAATTTGACGCCTTTTCCTCTAGATTTTGTAGTACCGATAAATGTAAGTTCCCTCTTTTAAGAGTTAAATTTAATCTCTCCTCTCTTCCTATGGTAGTATGTAAAATTATGCTATATTTCCATGTTAGGAGCAATCTCATTAATAATTTGCTCATGTTAATATCTATCTCTTCCTGTAAGCGTAATCTCTTCTTAGAGGAAGGGAAATTTAGGAGTCATTTAAAAAACGTTATCATTGCCACCTCCCACCTTTACTAATGGTAGCTTTTTATCTGGGCCTACTCTCACTATGAAACATGCACCTTCCTTTTAAATAATGAACCTGTCAAAGTTTTTATTAGGAAGAAAGTAGTATCTTTATCTTGAATCAACTACATTCAATTCTTAATCCCAAATCTTATACTTTTCAGGATCAATATCTTCTTTCTTGGTTCCAAATGGTACTTTCATCATGACTCCTTTTTTATTGTTTAACACATCTGAAAGCAAGTATATGAACTTTTCTTCAGTGAATGAGGGAAGGAATATCTAATTTAGTGGTTCGTTGGGAAGATTTAGAGACCAAAGTGTATCCCAAGTTTGTGTATCTATAAACCTGTACTCTCCGCTTGAAGTACTAGTGAATAAAATCTTAGATCCATATACTAAAGCAGCTTCTTCAATTTCAGCTAAAAACGTTAATATACTTCTAATTTTATTAGCTTACCTTATTTATCCTCAGGAATGTAATGATGATGAAACAGTTCCATTGTATTTATATCTATCTGATAAAATGCAATAGGTGTTTAGGATTTGTTTTTAATAATTTCAGGTTCTTTAATGTTAAAAAAGAATATATATTTTCCATCATGGCTCATATTAAAATCTACTAAAAAAACCTTTAAATGGCCATCACGCATAGGTATGGTTTTCAAATTAAATCCATAAGGACTACCGTTAAAGCAAAACTCTTTTAACTTAACACAATGCAGTGTTGCATCATCATATTACCATAGTTAGATAGAATAACTGTAATTCCAGAATCCGTGTTACTAGCTCTCTTCTTCAAATTCCAAGATGTGGTTTTAACTTTTGGGAATGTCTAAATCATTCTTACAATTTGTGTAATCTACATGGTAACCTTTCTCTGTATTATAAAAACTTTCATTTTGATTCTCAAACAGTAGAAGGCTATCATTAGGAGTCTATAATTTAAAAGTTGGCTACTCTAAAATAAGTTATGTGTCTATTATTCAACTTACAATCTTTCTTGGAAGTTTCAATTATGGGTGTACCTTTTACTCTCTGTTATAATCTAAAGTAATTCATATCCTGCGGATATTTGCCATGTACAAGAGTGATAATCTTGTTGTTATCCAGAGGGTGAAATGAGGTAAAATGGTTCCTGTTAAACATAGTCTTTATCGCTTTAAAGTGCTCTTTTCTGAAATTTTCTATTAAATCATCAAACTTGATATCAGGATCAGCTTGCATTTGTTCTATTCAATATTTAAATATAAAGTATTATTAATTTCAATTTATCATAATGTATTTAAAATATTTTGAAGTTCATTTAAATATACCTTTTTCTTGTAGTAATCAACTCTCTTATCTATTTGGGGTTTTGGGGTTTTGGGGAGATCGGAA